TTGGAGTCACCAAATCTGGAAAACTAAATTAAAATCACTACATACAACTATACTGCTTGATTAGTATTAGAGTTTCTATTTGAATAAGGGTTTATTCAAATTATTTGTTTTACTCATTATGAATAAAATGAATAAATAATAATTCGATAATTTGATAATTCAAATAAAACTAATTCAAATAAACAATAAACAAATAAAATAAAATAAATGAATAATAATAATTCGAATAATTTGAATAAACGAATAAAACGAATAAACAAATAGTTTGAATAAAAAATTCAAATAATAAAATGAATAATTCAAGCAAAACAAATATTTAATAAACGAATGATGTCAATTCGAATAATAAACGAATGATGATAATTCGAATAATAATAATAAACGAATGATGTCAATTCAAATGATAAACGAATGATGTCAATTCGAATAATAATGATAAACGAATGATGTCAATTCGAATAATAATAATAAACGAATGATGTCAATTCGAATGATAAACGAATGATACACAATTCGAATAATAAACAAATGATAACAATTCAAATAATAAATGAATGATGATAACAATTCAAATGATGATGTCAATTCGAATGGTAAACGAATGATGTCAATTCGAATGATAAACGAATGATGTCAATTCGAATAATAATAATAAACGAATGATGTCCATTTGAATGATAAACGAATGATGATAAAAATTCAAATAATAAACGAATGATGTCAATTTGAATGATAAACGAATGATGATAACAATTCAAATAATAAACAAATGATGTCAATTCGAATGATAAACGAATGACGCCGATTCGAATGATAAACGAATGATGTCAATTCGAATGATAAACGAATGATGATAACAATTCGAATAATAAACGAATGATGTCAATTCGAATAATAATAATAAACGAATGATGTCAATTCAAATAATAACAATAAACGAATGGTACAATTCGGATAAAGAATGATAACAATTCGAATAATAAACGAATGATAACAATTCAAATAATAAACGAATGATAACTATTCAAATAATAAACGAATGATACAACTAATAATTAAATGTTGGCCAAACCATTAATCATCAGAAAGGGTTATGAATCAATTAATGAAAGTGACATTATTGAAAAATCAATTGTTTTTAAATTTTTTTTTTCGCTGAAGGAGATTTCAAGCATATTTATACTTCTTGAAGTATTACAAATAACATGACTTTTTACATGATTTTGTCCAATAAAATAAAATAAATAA